GAAGGGTTAGCTTGAGTCCATCTCTTTGGAGATATAAAAAGATTAAGCAAGTGAGCAGAGAGACATGGAATAAGAGAGAACCAAGTCTCATGGAGATCTCCAAGGGACCGGAATCAGAAGCTGAAGGGTGAGGGCCTTTCCCCAGAGCTGACGGAGAGCCTTCTGTTAGACCTCCACACCCTACACTCGGATTTCCAGATCCCCGCACTGTGAGCGCACAAAGCCCGGTCTTCCTGTTAGAGCAGCGCAGGGTGACTAAGGTAACAGACCACTCTTCCTCCTCAGAACATCAGCAACAAGTTCAGGTGCTTCCAGACCCCTCACTTCTGACCCAGTGGCTCTCTGAGATTTGACAATTCACTGACTAGCCCTCAGGACTCATGGAAATCCGTTCACATACAATTGCAGCTTCTTAAATAAAGAATGCTAATCAGCACCAGTCAAGAAGGGATGCATAGACCTGTGGGCTTCTAAGACTATAGTTCTTTATGGGAGTGGAGAGCCACGTCTTTCTCCTGTGAAAGTGCTGAGGGTTGAGCTGCTGACCTCACAGTTAGCAGCCCCACCGGTAACCACCCTGACTCCAGAGCTCCTCCAATAAAGATATAGAGACATCCTATTGAAGGAGGGATGTTTTGTTCCTAAATGTTGGTTTATAAAACAACAACACCTTGATGATAAAGGACAGGATGCACCTCCTATATGTTGAAAGAGTATATCTGATGAGGGCAAAGGCCTCATTGAAAGTTCATATGAAATAATATTGAAGTTAACATGCAAATGCTGGAAAGAAGCATCAAAACACAGTGTTGCTTAAGATTTTTCACATGAAAACGAATCAAAGACAGTATGTTGCCTCATATTTACCCCACACAGAATTACAAAGAAAACTATTTATTCCTAATGTTAGAACTGCCAGCCAGCCCCAAAGAGACAAATTCAGAACCCAAACTCCCCAGAATGCAGGTCTGAAGCAAGGCCCTAAGCAGAGGTTACGTGGCTGCTGTTCTATGCTACCTGAACCATGTGAGTCACCTATGAGTCTAAATAGGAACCGTCTGAACAGAGAAGGGAACATAACAGATCAGCAAGGGCAGCACAGCAAAGCCACAAAACCCCTGAGGAGCCCCCCAAATAGACTTCAGGCTAGGAGGGGCAGTTCCCAACACCCCCCATCCAAACCAGTGGGGAGATAGTCATAAAGGTCAACAGACAGACCTGGAATTATGTCTGCTTTTTCATATTTTTCCTCTTTTTATTCAATCTGCTGGTTTCTTTTTGTTTTGTCTCTGTGATTGTTGGTTTGCTTACCTCTATAAGAGGGGCATGGGAAGCAAGCCAGAGGAGAAAGCAATGGGACGGATGGTTCCAGAAGGATTTGGGAAGAGGAGGAGGCAGGCGAAATTATTCTTGATAAAAGTGATCTGTTAGTGAAACAAAAAACAAAAACACAAGAAAACACATAGGGCCTCGGGGCTGAGGGTGGTGATTAACAATGTGAAGCTTCCTTTCTCCAAAGAGGACACAGTACCCTTCTGAGAGCAGATGTCTTCTGTCAGCCCGGAAGCACATGGAGCTTCCAAGTCCAGAGTTTTCCGTGAGGATCCCATCATGGAATGCAAACTCCAGCTCCTCCCCTGTGGGCACTTAGTAGCAGGAGGTGATCATGAGGTATGTCTCTGTGAGTCTCCCAGCCGCCCCCCACCCCCACCCCAGGGACCACTCCATCACTAACAAGCAGTTGAGTAACCTGCTTATTAGGTGAGATTCAGAGTCCTGATTGAAGTTGCCTACATTCTGAGGGTTGCCTTTTACGGATGATCTCTCAGGACTTGAGAGAAAAGGTCAAACTCTTTGGATGAGATTAAATTCTAAAACCCTCAACTAGTTCCCCACTTGGGAGAACTTGTAGTTCTTATCTCTGCCACTCAGGGCTTTCTGGGTTTAAAAGACCTGATTTTCAGAGAAGGGAGAAAGTGTCCACCAGAGTGCCCAGTGAGTCTCATTAAACCTGGAACTAGGGCTTCTTCCTATTTCTTTAGACCAAGAGATCCATGGATAAGGGAAGACGACGTTAGTATTTTCAAGGACAATTGACGTCATCATCAGGAAAAGGTGGAGTTGCTTCTACACAAGGAGGGCAAAGAAGACTATGTGTGGCACCCAGGTAGCCAAGTTGAATGCCTCCTGGTACTTCCTCACCCTACTTTGATGGTAAATGGACATGAACTGCCATCATGATCTGGGCTGAGTGACTCTCAGTTGCTTTAGGGGTGAGGGTCCTAGTGAACTCAGAAGGCAAGCCACCTAGACTAGCAAAGCTGTTAACTGTGGGTGAAAGGAAATGTGGAATGAGTGATCAAGGAGAGGCTAATGTGTTTCAAGGGCTCCAGTCCAGCTGCTTCGGGGTCTATAGTTCATCCCATTAACCACAGTCTTGAAAGTTCATTCCAGGAAAAGAGGCTCAGCCTATTCCTGAAGGATGTGTCCAGCACTTATAAGAAAAGCAAATGGATCAAAGCAGCTTAAAGGGTCATTAGTGGTGGACTGTGCGATGTGTTTCCCAAACTCTCATTCCCCAGCTGCTGGGAGTGTTGGTAGCTAGCAAGTCTCAGCTGACTTTCCTCGGTATGAACTGTGCCCGTGGCTGATGAAAGCTGCTTTGCCCAATGCCATGCCCCGTCGAAGGAGAAACCAACAGCCAATGACTAGTAGAGGTGAGGGTACAAACAAGTTGGCCATTTGACCCAATTGGGGTTACCCCAGTTCTGAACCTCCCTATGGAATTTGCTAAGACCGTTATTGAGACCACATCACAGTTCAAATCCTCCCTCGGCTCAGTCTTGCTTTGCCCTCTCGACAGCACCTCTGCATGCAAATCTCCATCTAAGAGTTTGCCTTCCAAAGAAACTAGTGCGGGGCATTCTTGGTTCCTGGTATGGGGTCTGTGTGCCATCAGAAGGCTAACAATCTTCCAACATTTGCTCCCCAAGACAGATGATAGAGAAGGGACCCAATTGGAGGGGAACTTGGTATGGGAACCCTCAAAAGAGGAGGTTTGACCAAATCTGTTGTGTTTTTCGTACATGGAAGGAAACTCCTCTCTCTCCTCCCCATTCTTGGTTGTCTCTTCAAGATTTCTTTGATACCAGAGTCCCTGCGGTTTACTGAGTTATCCTATAGCTGTCCGCTGGTAGTGCATGCCTTCTGCATTCCAATGACATGTGGGGATGTAGCCCCGATTGGCATTTAGGGCTGAAGTCTGCTAACCTTTAGGAGAGCAGGGGGGCATGTTTCATCTGGATATAAGTTAAATGAAGTTCATTGATGCTGTGATGGGTAAACCTTCTCTGATGGCACCTGATTCTGTAATTCTACTTGAGGCTCTCAGAAAGGCTCCGTCTGAGTAACAGTGGATTTTCTGATTACCGTGGCCCCTTATTTGGGAGTATGGACGTAAGACACTCTCCTGACCTTCCTGGCCTCAGTGGGTGGAGATAGTGATAAAGATATTTCCAAGAGAAAATTATCTCAGAACAAGAGATACTGTAAGGTCTTCTGTCACATTCCTTAATTTTTCCCTAAACCAGAATACTGTCCCCATTTTATGGATGGAGAAACTGACGCCCAAAGGAACACAATGTTAGAAAGACTAGCTCTGGGACAAAACTGAGGTCACCAGCCACGCAGTTCACAGACCCCACCAGATTCTTCCTAGTGCTACCCACTGCTATGTAATTGGAGCTCTTGAGTGGTAAGGCTGGGGTCTAAGGAAGGCTCGTTACTACTTGAGTGACCGGATATTCTGCTTTGCCTAGGACAGCCTTTATTTATATCTGTTTCCTAACATAATTATTACAAGTACCATATTTAATCAGAAACTTATCATTAAAAATCATTTTATTGGAGGCTCTGACAGCTCTTATCACAATCCACACATACATCCATTGTGTCAAGCACATTTGTACATAATGGGGTGAAAAAATGATATATTCATCTTACTTATTGCTAACGGGATAGATATCAATGTTCCTTTTACAACTTGACTTCAACTTTTCTTTCTGAATTTTCCCACCATTTCACACATGCCTGAATCCTATCACTTGCCACATGGGCTTCATCACAATCATTCTCAATTCTAGGTGTTTTCTTAAGCTGTACCTCTTTCTGTTCTCCCTATCACAAAATCCCTCTAGAAGATATTCTCTTGTTCATACATCAAGACCTGGGGTTAAATTCCACCTGATCCATGCAACCATAATTGAAGCAGGTTTTTCAAGGGCCATTTAGCCTTCTGATTTCTCTTTGACATTGGGGTTGGAGAGAAAGCAGACAATCCAGACCTGGGGCCTGGGAGATTCTCATAAAGCTTTTAGAATACTTGTGAAAGAGGCAAGTGTGATGCTAAAGAGGAAAGGAATGTGATGGAGCTCCTGAATTGTGACTGAAGTATTTGGGGCTCACGAACCCCTGTTGAGCACTCTCACCAGAGGGAAGGGGCAGGTTTGTTTGGCTCCCTCAGTCTACTCTTGAATCCCGATGAAGACCAGATCAGCCAAAAGATCATTCCTTGGGAACATAGTCCCTTTCCCCAGAGCCACCATCTCTTACACCCTCACCGTCATCTCTCTCTACCACCCAGTTCAATGTGGATTGCCCATAAGAAAATACAATGATTGTCGTTCATAATACCTTACATAACTCCAAATAGAACACTTAATCCCATATGACAACCCAGGTTCACAAGAGTCATGCTTTCTTAAAAATAAAAAACCCTGTCATATAGAGGATTTCAGGGATGTGGGGAGCAGAGAAACGACACTGCCCATGCTTAGCAGGGAATTTAATGGGGACACACAGAGGGGGAACAACCTGTCCAAAGTTTTTATATTTTAGAAACAATGGAGAGCCAGGGCTGTTAAAATTTTAAACATCAATAATTTAAATTTAATATGGTTTTTAAATTATTAAATACAATCCATCCATCTGTGGTGATGAGATTCTCCCCAGAATACACATTGGCGGGGCCAGGGGAAATGAATCAACATTTCTCAGACCGGGGTTTGGTTTCAAGAGAAGCGAAGATTTATGACTGTGGAGCCGAAGAGAGCCCTCACAATTGCCATCTGCTTGACGAGAGCCCCTGAAGCCCAGCACAATGCAGTTCAACCTGAGTTTCACGGAGGCACCATGAGTCAGAGTCAGCCGGGCAACAGCGGATTGGGTTTATGGCTTTGTCTTTGGGGATTTCTGATCCAGGTGCTTCATGGAATCTTGAACCCACTTCTCCTGGGGGTCGGCACAGATCTTTTTTGCTGCTCTGGTCTTGAAGCTGTGGGGGGAAAGCAGCTGCAGTTAGAAGGGTTCCCTCTGAGGATTTTGCCCACTTGATCCCAGACCTTCCAGCGCCATTTGCCAGAGGGTGGAGGGGTTGCCATGGAGAGAAGGATGCAGACAGAGAAAGGATAGGACTCTGAGGGGCAGCTGCTGATTTTGATGACTCAGCAAAGTCAGCCTTGCTCTTGCCTTGGAGGAGTTGGTGAGACTCCAACTAGTTTCCACGTAAGGGACTGGGAATTAAATTCTCCTGTCATAAGAGTTGGATTAGAGAGGCCCAACAGAGTCTATGGCTCTGACTCTACGTCACTCTGACTTAGTTTTGTTTATTAATTCTAAATAAATAATTTTATTGGGGCTTTGTACAGCTCTTATAACAACCCATACATCAATTGTATCAAGCGCATTTGTACATATGTTGCCTTCATCGTTTTCAAAATATTTTCTTTCTGCTGAGCCCTTGATATCAGCTCCTTTCCCCCCTCCCTCCCCAATCCTCCCACCCTCATGGGCCCCTGACATATTATAAATTATTATTATTTTCATATCTTACACCGCCCGCAGTCTCCCTTTGTTCACGTTATTGCTGTTTGACCCTCTGGGGAAGCGGGGGTGGGGAGGGGATTGTACGTCACTGTAGTCAGTTCCTCTTTTCTTCCCCTTCTCACTCCACCTTCCCTCTACCCTCATGGTATTGCTACTCCCATTGCTTTTCCTGAGGGGTTTATCTGTCCTGGATTCTGTGTGTCAGAGTGCTTATCTGTACCAGTGTACATGCTCCAGTCTAGCCAGATTTGTAAGGTAGAACTGGGGTAATGATAGTGGGGAGGAGAAAACATTAAAGAACTAGAGGAAAGTTGTATGTTCAGTCGGTGCTGTGCTGCATGCCGGCTGTCTCATTCTTTCCTTGTGATCCTTCTGTGAGGGAATTTGCAATTATCTACAGATGAGCTTTGGGTCTCCCCTCAGATCTCCATCATTTGCATTGATATATTTGTTTGTTTGGGGTCTTCTGATGCTTAATACCTTATCCTGTTGACACCTTGTGATCACACAGGCTGGTGTGCTTCTTCCATGTGGACTTTGTTGCTTCCCTGCTAGTTGGTGGCTTGTTTAGCTTCAAGCCTTTAAGACCCCCAGATGCCATATCATTTAATAGCCAGGCACCATCAGCTTACTTCGCCACATTTGCTTATGCACCCATTTGTCTTCAGTGAGTGGGGTGACTTAGTTCTTGACCTCTGTTCCCTAGAAGTTAATTTGGGGGCTGGGAGGAGTGGACTTTCTCTACTCACACCACGGCTGTCCGGGGACACTTGCTGTTGGTGATCCTTATGTAGCTCTCCAGTTTCTGGATGGGGATCTTCCTACCAGTCATATTAAAGCAGCAGATGGTTGGAACTGAAGCTGTATTTTGGGGGGAAATGAACAGAATAAAATTTAGAAGAAGGTAAGGAAATGTAAGAGGTAGAGGTAGACTAAACACTCGAGCTGTGTGTTTCTGCCTCGATAGTGGGAACCCACCATCACTGACAAAGGGCCTGGGTCATTCCCAAACAAAAACCAAATTCACTGCCATTGAGCAGATTCTGGCTCATAGCGATGCTATATGACAGGGTAGAGCTGCCCTGCTCATAAATTTTCTGCTTTTTCAGCACATGGTAAGGTTGCATTTCTTCCATATTTGTGGTGGGACCCACACAACTGGTTTTGACCAAAACATGATGAGAAGTGACGCACAGAATTGCTAGTGCAAGACCCCCACCCCCACCCCCTTCCCACCCAGAGCTTTCTTTTCCATGGGTGCACTAGCCAACAATATCCAGAGGGTAGCTACACCATTCGTCTTACAGTCCTGACCCTGAAAGATACAAGACAGAACCACGAATCAAGGCATACTAGATAGCTAGCATGAGCGAGAACTTAATGTGTGCTATTGGAAGCCACTGACAATTTGAGATTGTTTGTGACCGCGGCACACACCGGGTTATTCTGACGGGCGCACTCACGCTGTCTAGGTCCTCAGAGGATGGAAAGATGGATGCAAGTAAGAAGCATCTCGTTATTTTTCCCCATTGGGTGTCGGAGTGAAAATATGCCACCTCCGGGAATGCCCAAGGGCCCTCAGCCCCTTCCTCCAACCACTGTCTCTAAAAGCTATTTGAGAGCCCACTAAAAATCCTGGCCTCCAGTTAACAGAACTTACTTTTCCTCCTCCACCACTACCAAAAATACCCACCGTGTTCACAGCAAGGCTGTCTTTTGTGTGTCCAGCCCGAACAACACGAGGTCAGCTGGGTCACGGGTGCACTGAGCATCTATCTCAAAACTCATGCCAGGAAGGAGACTTTGGAACTGGCCTTGCTGGCCCAAGCATCTAGTCTTGACTTCTTCCACTGACAGGCGGTGAGGGCAAGACAGCTTTAGTTCACAAAAGGACTCTGTCTGCCCATCTTTAAGCTGCAGGATTTGCAGCAGACCGTCAAGAATCTTATTGATCTTATAGTTCATTGATGGTTAAGGACCCCTCAGTGGGTCGGGTGACTTACCTGGCAGAGCGAGCACACGGGGGCAGAAGGTGGTCTCTAAGAGCAGTAGGCAGAGGAGTGCCCCGGCGACCTTCATGGTGGCGGCTGAGAAGGTGAGCGTTAGGGTGAGAGCTGGAGGCTCCTGGGTTGTTCTCCGTCGGCTCTCTGCTCCTGTGTCTCCCCCTGACTGCCTTTTATAGGAAGCAGGGGGGGAGCTCCCTGAGCTCCCTTGGACTGAGCAACAGCCACATCAAGAAATTATTGAGATCCCCAATTTGTTGAGCTAATTCCAGAACCTGGCGATTTAGTAAGATGGAAGAGATACGAGTAGTGTGTTGGGACTTGGCAAAAGTATCCCCAATGCTGAGGGTAGGGCTAGGAGAGATAAAAGTATGTGGTTCTGAGTTGATTGAGCACAGATGCTCCTTGGAGGCTTCCTGAAAGCTCGGAGTACTCTAAACTAAAACAGCTGAGAGGTGGGGGAAGCGAGGAGAGCAAAGCCATGGGGAGATGGGGAAATCAAAGAGGCTTCCCATGTGTTTGTATGACAGCCTCTGGACTTGAGAGCCAGGAAGGGACACACACACACACACACACACACACACACACACACACAATTTGCTAGGCACCTACCCAGATGCAGAGAGAGCGAGATCATTAACATTGCTGAGGCTCTGAGGACCCAAAAAGTGGAGCTGCTAACAGAAAAAAACCCGTGATTCAAACTCAACAGCCACTTCTTAGGAGAAAAACCCTGGGTATGTATTCTCAGAAGGATCGCAGCCCAGGAAACCCTATGGGGCAGTTGTCGTCTGTCCCAGAGGGCTGCTGTGAGCCGGAGCCAATGGGATGGCATGTCACCACAAAGAGCAGCCCAATCGGATCGTTCCAATGGATCTCGACTTCCTGTGCACTTTTAATTATTTGCTTTGCTCCAGAGGTCCTTTACCGAGTGGGGGAAAAGGGTCCTTTTCCCCCTATGTCAAGCACAGTGGGATAAAGCGGGTGTGGATGAGAAGCAGAAGGGGAGGCCCCTGTGCCCTCCCCGCTAAGGAGTCAAAAAAAACACCCATTACAGCCTTCAAAGCAGTGACCTAACTCACCTCATCCCCTGAGTACATATTGCAGGTAAAGCATCTACCTGATAAAATACCAATGAGAAAGAGGAGGAAAGGACCCACACATCTGCTCTTCCATACACGAGGCCTCCAAGAAACAGGGAGCTCAAGTGGAGGTAGAGTCTTTGATGGGGACTGCTGGGGTTCATTAAGGTGAATGAGGGTCATTGAGCACTGGCATCTACGTACTGGAAAGCCAGGTCTTGGCTTTGCCTGAACCCATGCTCATCATTGAACTGACAAAGCAGATTGAGTAGTTGGGACTGGTTTCACAGAGTTCTATTGAGAACAACTATGAGTTAGCAGAAACAGTGTCATGGCTGATGGATAATGCCAATCATGGCCACAGGAGTAAGAGTGTCCTTGTTGCCTTATATGGTCTCTAAGCTCCCATCTGGAAGATGTGTTCAATAAATACTGTACAAAGAAATCATTTAGAGACCAGAAAACTTGGGCCACCAAGCATTATAAGAGAAAGGCTCTTACCTGCTCAACCCCAGGTGATATAGTCTATCATAGACTCTGGCCACTCTGTCTGAGTTTGGATGATGGCATGGGTGATGAACTTACCCACTCTATGCTAGGTTAAGCTGGGCCTAAAAGCAATGCCTATTTTCCTCATGATATGCCCTATAAACCTTCACCTAGTTCACAATAAAAACTCTGAAAAAAAGAAAATAAAAATCCATTGGACTAAAACATCAGTCTCTACAACCCTGAAACTGGAAGAAACAGATGGTGGCCAGCTATCAATACCAAATGTCCTAGAAAGGAATACATTGGAAAATCCTGGACAGAGTAGGAGAAAAATGTGAAATAAAACTCAAAATCATAAACAAGACCAGGCTTACCAGTCAGTCTATCTAGACTGCTGGGAACCCTTGCCCTTCAGGTCTGGATCTGAACTGACACCCTTGCTAGGAACACCAGGCAGTTATGATCAAAAGGGCAGCATTCACCCAAGGACAGAGTGAGGGTCAAGGAAGAAGGAAGGTGGGAAAAGGGAACACAGGGAGGGAATGGGATAAATGATGGCATACCGAGGGGATTGTGATGGATGAGTTGAATCCGAATGTGTATGAATTGGTTAATGTGTTAGTCTGGGTACATTAGAGAAACAAATCCACAGAAACTCATGTATAAGAGAGAGTTTTATATAAAGGTTAAGTGTACATCAAGAAAACATTCCAACCAGTGCTGCCCAAGCCCACAAGTCCAACATTAACCCATATGTCCAACACCAATCCACAAAGTCCTCCTCCATCTCACAAAACACACACTATGACGCTGACTGAAGGAGGAAAGCCGAATCAGTGAACATGTAAGTATCTCAGTGCTGGCAGGGGTCTCCACACGGCTGCTCCAGCACCCAGGGCTACACTGGGGTAGGTCCTTTTGTCTTCTCTTTGGGGAGGTCTTGCAGGAAGTGAGCCTTGCCAGCTGAAGCAGGGAACTGGCTAAGGCAGCTGCACCCTGGTCCGACCATCACAAAGCAAGAGACCCGAGAACTTGAAAGGCGAGGCTCACCGAGCCATTTATCTCTCCGCCCTTCAATTAACCCCACACGTGTTTATCGGCCAGGTTGACACAATACATTTTAACTACAGTAGTTAATATAAGACTCTGATCTGCCCTGTCAATCTTCACCTAATTAACAATAAAAATTTACAAAGAAAAAAAATAAGTGATGGTTATTTTAGAGGAATGTTGTGTAATTAAGTGAGCAAACATTTATAAAGTGCTTTGGAACGGCATCAGCTCACGCTGGGTGTTCAATGAGTGGAAGTTATTCATAAGTGTTATTGGGAAATGGTCGATGCTGCAGACTAAGGGATACCGGGAAGAGACTCAAGAGTCTGGGGCAGATGACGTCTTGTGTTTTTTTCTCCCTCAGATCCCCCACTGATTGTGCACACACCAGAGATCATTTTCAGGAACGCTTGTGCTTCTCTGTGGGTATGTCTAAGGTCTCTAAACTTGTGCCAATACCTCCAGGCCAGGCCAAAAAGAGAAAAATGGAATTCTCATGAAATCACATTGTTCTGGATTAGGCAATTGAGCGATTAATTTCCTATGTAAGAATCATTCCATGATTCTCCTGGGAGGGCTCAAAATCCTATTAGCAACTCACTGTTGATGTTTTCATCTGCCTCCTCCTAGGCTTTGGACTTCATCCGGGTCAGAGAGATCACAATAGAAATAAACAAACTCAGACACCGAGGCCCAGCAGTTGCTCCATGAGGTTCCTGGCTGTCTTTAGTAAGTGGGACCCCTATCCTTGACTCTCCCCTCTCCTGCCTCCTGGAACCTCCCTTCGACATGTGCACCTATTTCTTCTCAAATGGAATCATGTCTCATCAACAAGGGAAGGTCCTCATAGCTCTGCTTGATCCAAGTCACCGAGGTCAACTCTACAGTTGTGCTTCCTCCTGTCAGATTTTGAGAGACTTCCAATTCTGAAGGCTCATCTTCTAGCACTCCGTCAGGCAATACCCTGCTCCAGAAGGTTTTCAGGGGATGGTTTTCCACCAGGGGACCACCTCTTCTTTCTTGCTTTCTCAAAATGTCCACCGGGAGTTTCAAAGGCCCTGCTGGTCTTTAAAATACCAGTGGTGCATAGATAGCTTCCAGCATCACAGCAACACACCAGCCACCACCGTGTGACAACTGACAGACAAGTAACAATCCATAATCTTTGGAAGCTTTAACATCAACAACGACTGGACTGCTAAAAAACAACAGCTCAAAACCACACTGCTGTCAAATACATTGCCATTCCTTGCAACCGTGGACCAAGCCTCATTTGTAGCAATATCCATAATGCACACATACATCTGGGGGACAAAATGTCAAAAGTATGTGAAAACGTTTTGGCAGACCACACGTATACACCACACATATTTTGAGACATTTCCAGAAGTGAATTTCCTCCTCATTCACTGTCATCCAATTGGCTGAAAACACCACTGTCTGTCTTAGAAGCCAGGATTAAGCAGCTGTGGGCTGAGTTTGATGGTATCCAGGGTGTGTTAATCTGGGTAGACTAGAGAAACAAATTCATAAGCACGCATATGTAAATAAGGGAGAGGTAAATATACAAGAGGAATTGAACATTGAGAAAATATCCCCACCCAGTCCAGTCCAAGGCCATAAGTCTGATATTAGCCCTTATGTCCGATACCAATCTATAAAGTCCTCTTCAGACTTACGAAATACATGCAATGAAGCCAAATGCAGGACGATCACAAGCCAGTGGGTAGAAAGTCTTTGGGTCCAGTGGCATTGTAAGAATCTCAGCGCTGGCAGGGGTCTCTCTGTGGCTTCTCCGGCTTCAGAGGTCTGGTTGCATCCATGTGGCTTGTCTTCTGCAGTGTCTCCCAGGGAGTAGCAGAGAGAGAGGTATCTCCCGCCTCCAAGGCGGAAGTACCAGATTTCCCAGAAATCGCAGGAGAAGGCCATGCCCACATAGAAGTCTCATTGGCTATCTCCAGATTGACAGCCTAGACTCCACCCCTACACTCTTAATCCTTAAATTGGCACCAGGGCATTGGAAAATAAACAGTCGAAAGCGTACTTGCTCTCGAGCAGTTTACATTTGGGCAGGAGACTTTAAGTTTGATCTGTATCAGAGTTCAGGGGACTTCAAAGGACGCTCTGAGAAGTTTTTCATCCATGTAGACTGGAGAAATAAATCTAGGTAGACTCATGTGTGTAAGAGAGAGCTTTATATAAAAGAGTAATTGTATAATAATAAAACATCCCAGGCCAATCCAGATCAAGTGCATAAATCTGATATTAGCCCCTATGTCCGATACCAGTCCATAAATTCCTCTTCAGACTCACACAACACATGCAATGACACTGAATGCAGAAAGATCTCAGGCCAGTGGGTGGAACGTCTTGTGGATCCTGGGGCAGTGGAAGCATCTCAGCTCTGGGAGGGGTCTCCTAGTGGCTCCTCCAGCTCCAGGGCTCTGGC